AAAAATAAAAGTACACTTATGCGGTCTCCAGGCTGTGTATCCCCCCCCGCATCAACTTTTGAATGGCTGAACCAATCTTTATGAAACTCTGTATGTATATCATGGCACCTCAGCCCATCTCAATGGCGCACTTCATAAATCCCCATCAGTCTGTGTGTCTGTATGCGTATCCTTCTCTATTGTTGCTAGGCAACGGCTCGGTTAAAATATTACTGAAGCAACGAATACACATACAACAGAAGAACTGCTGGACGCGTCGTTTCCTAAGCGGTCCGTGTCGTCTCAAGGAAAGCAGGTGATCAGTTTTTCCCAAAACTTGTATTTGTTTGTTTACATGAAACATATAGGGGTTTGATGGGAAAGTCAGAAGGAAATAGACAACTAGGAAGACCTAGGTGTAGGCGGGAGGATAATATGTTACGGAAATGGGATAGGGTAGCATGGATCGGATTAATCTGACTCGGGATAAGGACCAGTGGAGGGCTTTTGTGAGCATGGTAATNAACGGTAATGAATCTTCGATTTCCATAAAATGCTGGGAAATTGAGTAGCTGAGCAACCGGTGGCTTCTCAAGAAGCGTTCGTTAGATGGTCTTACATTCAGCACCCTGCACCCGCTTTGCTGTCGTTCCGGTTCACGGACAGACGTAACGGTGAAGCTCTTCTGTTTAACAGAGTAATTAACGTTGAGTCACCGAACATGCTGACTCAAGCGGTAACGCTGCCTACTTCGTTTCGGTAGTCGCCCGGTTCGAATCCTGGCAGCGATAGACTATTCTGACATTTTTTTCGCAGTTTCCTTCAGTTCCTCCGGGCAAAAGCCGGAGCAAAACGTCAAAATTAGCCCACGTCCTCTTCCTTACATATCTCAAATCACCATTCAGTAACCAACTTATCATTCGACGCCACACAGTCTGAACTACTGACATCGTTTTTTTATTGCTAGTGGGGTAGGACTAAGTTAGAATCACAGAACTATAGTACGAGTATAACTGGCGCTGAAAACATTGAAAAATGGGTCTCAACCTTGAGATCCAAGAACGTAACCCTGTTTCCCATGTTATAGCGAACTCGACTTAACGCTATTTCGACGTAATCAGATTTTTTTTTCTCCTTGGCACTATAGCTCCAGTGGGCCTAGGCCTACCTCCATGAACTTCTCCGTTCACTTCGGTTTTTCTAGATCTTAGACATACGGTAGGACTCCTTGGGCAGGTGATCAGCTCGTAGCAAGGCCTCTACCTGTACACAAACACAGAAAAACGCACACACACAAACTAAACATCCCTGAGAGGAATTCGAACCCACAATCCCGGTTTCCAAGCGAGCGAAGACATGCCTTAGACCGCTCAGCTACCGTGACCGGCCTTAATCAGAATTAGGGAACGTATTAAGACAAGTCCGAGGTAGGATTGCATTTACGTTTATAGATGGCAGACGAAGAGACGAACCACTTTAAACTGAATTTGAAGCAACATTTCTGGGATCCGGTCTACTCTTAATTTTGTGAGTTGAAATAGCAATCTCGACAACAGACGGCGCATCAGTCCATTCCTGCTGCAGCTACGGAACACCCACGGACCAATGAGAGCGATCGATCCTGTTCATGCAACACTGATGTGAGAAGGCGTGTTCTTCTGTACCAACTTCTGTTACGGAATGATCGCGGCGCTCGAGGCACAGTGGCACTGAACTGGGATTCAAGTTCCCTCGCGCAACTCATTTGGCGCGGACCATCACAATTCCTTATTTTATTACCATAATTTCCTTATTTAAAAAAAAATGAAAGGATTATGGAATCGCCTTGCTGTTTGTCTGTCTGTGCGTCTGTGTATCCACTATAATTAAAAAGAAATAAATAAAAAGCTGTTTAGGATATTACTTTGCTGTCTGTGTGTCTGTTTATACCCCACCACTTTCTTCGTTTTCTATGTGGTCCGTGTCCTATCGAAAGAATATAAGCGATTAGTTATTCGCAGAACTTATTCTATGTATAATAGGGATAATTTCTCACTAACTCCATGTTCTTCTTGTGAAGCAAACAGCACCTCAGCTATTCAAGGATTTCCCAACATTTCATGCAAGCCATAGGTTCACTACCGCGTTCACAAGAGCACGGTATTGATCTCTATTCTGAATCAGATGAATCCAGTCCATACCGCCCCATCATATTTCTCTAACATACATCTTAATATTATCCTCCCACCTACGTCTAGGTTTTCCTAACGGTCTCTTTCCTTCCTGAATTCCCACCAAAATTCTGTATGCACTCCTCTTAGAATTTTTCACTGGATGTGAAAACATTGTTTCTAATTCATATTATGTTATTTTCGGTTTTGGCACCGTGCTGTCTGGTAGGTGGTTATCAACGCTTCAGAAAAAACATAGGGCCTCTATCTCAGGGGATGAAGAAGGAGGAAGAATGTTCTTACGAAATGCTGGTACCAACATACCAGACTATACGGTATAACTCAGAAGACCAAAATATGAACCACTACCGCCATGAGAAGCTCAAATTTTATATATTTCATGGTCTTATCGTGTAGCCTGGTAGGCGCTTATCATCACTTCGGAGCATAATACTGTCTCCATTTTCGGGGATGAAGACAGATACTCTATGTTCTCCGAAACGTTGGTATCAACCTACCAGGAGACCTAAATATGAATTTGCATGGTAGTTAGAACCTAAAATCTTACGTACGCGTACCCTTCGGCAAATACTCGTAAAACAATAATTATTAGGGCGATTAAATCATGGAGGTGATGGGTGTGACAAGCAGCACGCGTCTTGAAAAATGCATAAACAATGTTAGTCTGAAAATCTGAAAGAAACTGATCACTTACGAGATGTGAAGGAGTATATTGTGGCATGTAGACACGTCACTAGACAACGACCGCGAAATAAGCAACTAGACAACGGCTGTTACTAGGCAGAGGCCCGTACGAAGCTCCAGAGGAAAGGTGTTTTCTGTGCGACCCGTGCCGAGATGTTATAAGCATGACAAGTTGGTTGCTGGGCAGTCAGAGGACTGCTGGGGTTCAGTCACTGTGAGCTGTTGCAGTGAGGAACTGGTAGCTCCCGTTCGGGAACGTCAGCAGTTGGAAGCCGTTACCAAGCAACAGCAGTGAAGACGTGACGATGGGCTTGGCGTGTGTAACAATGAACTGTAAAGTGTAGCCATGCGCTGTATTAAAAAGTCCAGAAATTCCGATTATCAATCCAGAAACCGTCTGTAGTCACTCATACACGTGACTGTAAGAATGAATGAATGAATTAAACCTTATCGAGAAGTGAAATTACACAGAGTGTCCCCTCGGTGGGGCCTCTTCTAGTGTGTGGACACAAATTTCACTTAACGATTTGTGTCTAATGACTCCCACTGTGTAAGATATTAACATGTGTCTTAAACAAACAAGCCGACGGTGGAGGTGTAGTGTGGATTCAAATAGTGTTACAGTCTACTTTGAAGCCTGAGGCAGGCGCAGGTCAACCGCACGGGGTCTCATTCAGAGAATGCTACAATTATGGCATTGCCCTGCGGACTTCAAACCTCATGCAATGTTCAGTTTGATTAGAAAAACATATAAATTCTTTAAATTATAATACATGTCATCACTTTACATCATACGTCTTCTACTTTTCGTATTAGGCCATATGGCCTGTTTCTCTTCAAAATTAATCAGGAACTATTGCTCTTATAGACAGTAGGTAGGACTACTTGGATGGGGGATCAGCCCCGTTGCAATGCTGCTACCTACACACGGGACAACACAAATACATAAGACACGCGGACAAACACCCATGCCTCGAAGGGATTCGAACCCACGATCCCACTGTTCCAGCGGGCAAAGAATTTCCATGCCTTACACCACGCGACCACTGCGATCGGCATATACTGAGCCTATGTATTTATACGGCTTATCGCGAACTTTCATGTCCCAATCTGAGACAGGAGCTCAGAGGGTTTCGGTAAGTTCTGAAAATCAGCGACCCCAGATGGAGATAAACTTGGAGGAAAACACTACCTTAATGACACAGTGATGTCTTACAAGGTTGATAGTTTCTCATCTGTTCAAGAAATGTAGCGATTATAGAACTGAAAGGTTCATGACCTTGCTCATGAAAACCATACCAAGGACCCTGCCCTGAGACAGCTGAATCCAGTCCACGCCTTACTAAACTATATATCAAGATTCAGTTTAATATTATCTGTTCATAAGCACAGGTCTCCCAAATAATCCATTTCTTTCACGACCGAAATTGTAGAGGTATGTATTTCTTTCCTTCTTTCACGCTACAAATGGAACCTAATTCACCCTTTGTAGAATTTGATGATCTCAAAACGGTGGTTATGAAGAGTTCTGCCTTCTGGGATACAATGCGGTGTAGTCCGCTGAATCAACCGACGTTTCGGAGGAATATGTCGCCTCCATCTTGAGGACTGAGGAACAAGTCAATCAATAAACCAGCGTGAAGAAGGTAGCAAGCTCTGCTTGGCTTATTCTTCGACATTGAAGATGGAGGCATATTCCTCCGAAACATCGTTGACGTTCAACGGTCTACACAGCGCTATAACCCAGAAGGTAGAACTCTTAAAATCACCCTCTTTCATTTTAGCGTCCTAATAATGAGTTACTGGGCAAAAATTCACTGACGATCATTGATTCAGACGTCACCACGTCATAGCAAGTGTTCGACGCCGGCCAGTTTGTATGGTTCAGTGCGTGCAGATCCTCATAGCGTGCATGACTCCGTCCCACCTGTCTATACGCATGAAATTAAATACTGGGAGATAATTTACCTAAGCACTGCAGCTTCGGTTCACTTTACGTCAAGACCGACAGTGCGTTTCTGCGGGCATGTCTTGCATTATCTCTAAGTCTTATGGATGTCGAGTTAATAAAACAAAGGATTTTTTTTTAATTGAAGACAATACGAGAGCGAAAGCGCTAGAAATGTTACGCTATGCGCGCAGTCTGTAGATATCCCTTCTCTTTACCTGGAAGCCCTTTCTCTGGCGACAGCAGACGCACCCCAGCAGCACAACCACCGAAGTGACCAGGAACGCTGCGGCAAGAAGCGGCGTAAGGGCTGTCCATACCGTCACATTCGGCCCATCTGCAACACGACAAACATTCCTCGTTCTATAATTCGTACAATTCTGACATATTATACATAAAGACGAAAGAATCTACCATAAAGATGAGGGGAACGCATATTTTGCACAGGTTACATACCATCCAATGCGACGGAAATCTATATTTTTTGGGACATATTACACCCGACCGCTTCTGTGGTCTAGTTGTCAGAGTTCCTAGCTACAGGTCCAGAGGTGCCGGGTAAGATTCCCGGCGCTACCAGATTTTCTGAAAAGTAGTGGGATTGGAACGGGGTCCACTCAGCCTCGTGAGGATAACTGAGGAGATACTTGATTGGAAAAGTAGCGGCTCCGGTCTAGAAAACCGAAATTAACGGCCGTGGGGATTCGTTGCGCTGACCACGCAGCACCCTATATTAGCTGAAAGTTGGCATTAACTTCGCCGATAAGCGGCGGTCGCTCGGTCGGTATAGTTCGCTTGCGGACTAAAGCCAAGGAGTATCTCGGCTGTATAAAGTCGTCTAATGGGAGGGTTGACGAATTAGGAATGGCGTGGAAGGAAGCTGACGTGGCCTAATCGAAGTAATATTTCTACATTTGTCTGGAAACGCGGAAACCCACAAATATTTTCGGTCAGAACAGCAGATATCAGACCGACATTCGAAACGAGCACTTCCTGAATATATGTCTAGAACGTTACCGCTACACCACCTTGTTCGATATATTATGAACGCTCAGTGGGTAAGGATTTGGAAGGAATCTATCATGGCCTTTTTTTGAAGCCATTAACCAGCCATTTATCTGGAGACTATGGTGACCAGGGCCCGGATTTTGATGACCTGAAAATATTTAAAAAATGACGGAAAAATGACCTAAAATATGACCCAAAAATGTAATATGCAGGGCTCGGATTCTGATGACCTGAAAATACTAAAAAAAATGACCTAAAGGAGAAAAGAAAGAACACTTCGCTTCCATGTTATTCACATTTCAGAAAACATATGAAGAAAAATTCCCTAAAATGGTAAAAAATGACAAGAAATACCCTTAAAAGTCCCAAAAATTACCCCCAAAATGAAAAAATGACCTTAAACCTAAAAATGTCAAAAAATGACAAAAACATTACCTATAAAATATACATTTCTGTAACCAGCAGCTCATACCCGAGATTTATATATTTAAGAGCATCGCATAGGATACAAGGAAAAAAAGATGACATGTCATCAAAATCGGGCCCTGATGATGACAATCATGAAGTATGCAGTCAGCATATATAGCAGCGTGGCTGAAATCTCAAGGCAGTTACTATAAAAAATTGTCCTGAAGATGGAGACAGCCCTGAAGAAAGTCTACCGTGACGCTCACCACAGCGAAAGTCTCATATCTCAGGGCCCCCATCTTATCTCCTATGCAGATATATGGTAAATCTCAAGCAGTTTACAGTCTTATCTCACTGAGGGAGAATGCACGCTCGCGTGTAGCCATGCAGAAGAGCCACTAATTGCTGTCCGCACTCATTGTGACCCAGTAGACTTGCCAGGGCAGAGAAATTTAAGTGTCAAAAGAAAGTGTGGGGCGGTTCGGAGATAGTACACTTCAATTAGCGAGATTTCAGGCTAGGCCTACTGTCCTCTTTACTTTAGACACGTATTAAGGTTTCGGAGGAACGTGCTGACTCCATTTTCAGGACTCTTTCTGCTCTGATGATTTAGGTAGCAGGTTCCTCCCATATATTCGTATCTACCAAACTACACGGTTTCACATCACAGAAGAGATCTTTCACTAATGAAATCTTCAACATCATCATTGGCAAAACAGCCCTTTTTGAGCAATAGCTTTCCTTAAAAGATCCTGCCAGGTTTGTCTATTTGCGGCTGTGTCGCAAACTAGACCATCAGCCTTTCGCTTCTTTGGAATTAGCAACAATATATATATATATATATATATTTCACAGAGCAAGGTCGTCAGCCTTGCATGCAACCCCTAACCTGAACGCTGAAACATTGAAACTATTGAAATAAAAAAGTAAAGCCATCCCTGACACAGGCCGTGGAGGCCCATAGGGTTGAGACGACGAGGCTCCTATATTTCTTAGACAATCGGCTCACAGATGGCGGTGAGGCCGTCAGCTTTAAGCACATCTCTAGAAAATTAAACGTGACAATTTGACAATTCCCACCTCTCGCTACGATTTCGACATATAACCCTTTCACTGATCCACTTAAGGGATACTTTCAAATCACGGTTTCACTGAACATGTATGCTGTAAACTTGAAAGAACCTGGAAAGGCAGCTTGACAGAATAAGCGCTGATATTAACTAGTAATAATGCTTTTCGATGAAGGTGGACAATACCGACCCGATCGCATCTTCCACTGTATATTCTGGTCCTATTCTTACCTATCAGCAACTTGACATATAGAAAAGTTGTCCCTGTACTTAACTAATTAAGCACTACGCCATGAAGGCGTATAGGGTAATGGCTGTACAGATCCATATATTCTTGACCTCGACACTAGTTGGAGATGAGTCGTCAGCTTCACGCCACGGCCGCTTTACCACCGGGGAAAGAGCCCCCGGTACCCATTGGATATGAGGCTGGGTTGGCCCCAGAGCCAGTCTGGACGATGTGGAAAGCAAATGGAAAAACTACCACATTATCACTTTTCCTGGATAGTCTCTTTCCAAAAACAGAGACACCATGTATGCGAACCAGAAGACGAGGAAGAAGCTGTAAGAAGATGCTGGATGACCTTGGGGACACAAGAGGATATTCTCATTTGAAGGAGAGAGCTCTAGATCGCATTAAGTGGAGGAACTGTTTTGGAAGAGACTGTGGACCTGTCGTCTTGACAGATTACTGATGAACGAATGAATGTTTAAAAAAATACTAAGCCGAAAGTTAATTTACGTGTTCACAAAAAGCCTGACACTTGACAGTATCACAAGCCAGTTAAATCCAGTCCCTTGGCACCCTGAAGAGTAATATCTTCTGGGATATAACGCCATGCATTGCGTTGAAAGTCAACCGACTTTCGGAGGAACATATCGCCTCCATCTTCTGGGTCGAAGAATAAGTCGAACAAGAAACTAGCGTGAAAACTTGTGTCAAACTTTCTGCCCATTGTCGCGCTGGCTGCTGCCTAACAAGAGTCGTTGCTAGGCAGCAGCCAGCGCGCCAATGGGCTGGCTGGATAGCGATCACGTGGGAACCACAAGAGACACGCACGCAACGATAGAAGAACTGTGTTTGCTGTTGCTCTGTGCTGAGGGGTTATAAGCGAGACTGTCAGTCACATGGAAGTGTGCTCTGTTGAAAGTCGGGCTGCGAGAAGACAAGGAGGTTGGTGTGAAATAGCCGCCGGCCTGGGAGCTAGTGAACTCAAAGGGAGCCGCCATTCAGAGATGACTTGAGCACGGAAAAAGAGGAATAGCCATTGTTACAAGCAGTTACCAGAAAACGTCTAGAGAAAACTGAGAAGACTTTATGTATGCTGTGGTTACAGTGAGATTCGGAAGGACTGGGACTGTTATAATTAATTGTACTCACGGATCTGTTAGTGGTCATTAAATCCAATATCCAAACTAAAACCCCGTTGAGGGTCACTCTAATACGTGAGAATATATATAAGGATAACATTATATTATTTAACTTAGATTTTTTAGAGGGTTATTATGGATTTTCTTCTTTCTTTACGAGCAATTCTATTCTGTCCCATATGCTAGTGTCAACATGACACAGTATCAGGGTCACATTCTGGAATGTGGCGTCCATAATTTATTCATTTCGTGGCCTATTTAACGACACTCTCAGTAGCTCTGACTAGTGTCGAATATTACGATGATTAATAGTGAATTCGAAATGACGTAGAAGAAGCCGTAGTAACATAACTTGAGGCACTATTTCAGAATTTGCCTCTAAGGAGCAAGGACAATCAGAACAAACCTCAGTCACGATGGTCTTCAGGCAAAGAACTGAAACAGCCGCGCCTCTTACATACGGTCTGCCAACCACTAAACCGCGACACTGTACTCTTTTGTAGGGTAAAGGTAAATTTATCCCTGTAAGAGGCCGTGGAGGCCCATAGGGCTGAAGATGACGACAAAAGGTTCGTCCAAAACGCTGGAACGAACTAAATGGAAGGATGTAATCTTGATATTTACTGCCGTGATAACCTCAAGTCTGACACACATTACACAGTACTCCATCAGTACTGGGGGACAATGTACTACTGACGGATCAGCTTGCTGCACGCATGACTGTGAATCGCGCTTCTGTGCTCCCAGTGTATATTGACAACATGCCAGCAGCATAAGGTTAACGACCAGAACCGTGGTACACGGGGACTCACCTCTCACAAAGCGTTTCAGACTCGAACCCGATCCAGTGACTCATCGAATAATTTCATGACCGACCCAATTAAACACAGAAACAGCAAACGGTAGGCCGCCTTCACAACCGAAAAGAAAAAGACAAAGTCTCTGACAGGAAGAAATTCACAGTATGCATAAGAGTATTTGAGAATATGATAGTCACCCGCGCTGAGCACAGTGGCCGCGCAGTATAAGGGGACTAGGCATGAACTGTCTTCGCCCGCTAAGACACTGGGGTCGGGGTTTTGGATCCCACTCGAAGCATGAATGTTTCTCTGGGTCCATTCTGTGTTTATGCTGTCCAGTGTAGGCAGCGGCCTTGCGGCGGGCTGATCACCCACCTAAGAGAGCTACCGACTGTCTATATAATTAAGGAACTGCAAAAAGAGAGACCAAGCCTCATCACGAGGCCCCGGATTTGGATGACGTCATCTTTTTTTTTCTTGTATCCTATTGGACGACCATAAATATATAAATCCCGGATATGAGTTGCTGGTTACAAAAGTGTAACTTTTATAAGTCACTTTTAATAATTTTTCGTAATTTCTAAGTTTTTAGGTCATATTTTCAGCAATGTGAATAATATGCAAGTAAAGTGTTCTTTCTTTCTCTTTCTCCTGCCTCTACACAGGCAGCCTGCAGCTGC